TCCTAAACCCGAAGCCGCAAATCTTAGGGCAGTTGCATGGTCCCTTAGTATGGGCTCTTCGAAGGGGAGACCCTTATATACCCCCCCTATCTACCAAAAGTAAGGGCCCATATAACTACCCTTAGGCCAAACCTTACACAGCATGAACTGCTGCCAAGAAGGCCCGGGAAGCTTAAACCCTGAACCCTGAACCCTGAACCCTGAACCCTAAACCCTAAACCCTGAACCCTGAACCCTAAACCCTAAACCCTGAACCCTAAACCCTAAACCCTAGACCCTAAACCCTAAAGCCTCAGCATCTCGCCAAGTTTTGGGTTGTGCCAAGGCGGACGACGTTGCTCAGCAGAAGGCCACGGGGTGTCCACGAGCTTTTGGTGGTGGTTTGAGGGTTTAGGGTTGAGGGTTTAGGGTTGAGGGTTTAGGGCTGAGGGTTTAGGCTTTAGGGTTGAGGGTTTAGGGTTTAGGGTTTAGCCCGTTACGACATGTAGGGAGCCGGGCTTGCAACTGCTTGGAGGTTCCTACGGGCACCCCCAAGCAGGGCCACCCTGTACAAGTACCGATGAACCTCCAGTAGGACTAAGGACTAAGGGCTTGGACAGACGTGATCACCGGATCCGGTTCCAAGCAGTAGCACTTGAACCTGGATCCACAACTCCCAAACTCTAAACCCTAAACCCTAAGCCGTTTACTCTTGCCATCATGGTGCGGCTGGTCGCAATGTTCTCGCGATGGTGATGGCCACGTAGGGCCACATACTGTGTGGCTCCGATTGCTCATTCCACTTCTCAAGTACAGCGCTGCACGCCTGCAATCTTTCCAATTAGCTTAAGTTGAATACGGTTTGTATTTGCACGCGCGTCCTAAATTTATGCAGTTGGGTGGAAGAGTGCCTGCAACATTGTGTTAGGGCAGCCCGGCCGCATGCAAAGGGATGGTGCAAATAACCTAAACAACTGGCGTCTTGATTGCAAACCCTTCGGAGGGCGGAGGGAAAATTGCACGGGCTGGAAAAATGATGTTCCGCAACTGCAAAAAACTTGAAGCATGCGTACACGCCCGCACACAGTAGCATGTGCCATGCAACAAATCCAACATGAATCTGGCTGGTGAGGGTAGGGTAGGTACCTAGGGAAGCTTAGGGAGCCTTAGGGAGCAGTAGGGAACATTGGGTTACATACAGAGACCCCTTACTTGAAGAACACAAGCAACCTGGAGGAGGTCCCTGTGATCAAGTCCAAGCGCAGGCCGGTGCCAGAGACCCCACAGCTCGAGATTCCCTTGCCAGCACCGAGTCAGAGTGTGACAGCGGATACAGCAGCCACGGCGTCCACTGGAACCAGCCAGGGCCGAAACCAAGATCAAGGAGCCCAAGACACCAGCCAAAACAAGCTGGGCCTCAGGGGCTGTGGTGCTCAAGGCTCGGCCAGTGGTGGTGACTATGCATCGGCTTCACGGAGTCTTGACTCCTTGATGCAGGGAAATCTGTGGCGCACCGTGTCCCTGAACCCTAAACCCTAAACCCTAAACCCTAAACCCTAAACCCTAAACCCTAAACCCTAAACCCTAAACCCTAAACCCTAAACCCTAAACCAAAAGCATGAGCCTCTCGCTTGCTTTGCTGTTACAACAGGTGGCAAAGTCCATGATGCAACATGCGGCACAGGGCCTCAGAACACGGCTTTTTGCGGAGGGTTCGCTAGGGTTTAGGGTTTAGGGTTTAGGGTTTAGGGTTTAGGGTTCAGGGTTTAGGGTTTAGGGTTCAGGGTTCAGGGTTTAGGGGGTTCTCAGGCGGCAGATGTTGGAGAGCCTAGGAAAGCAAAGTCCTGCTTCTGATTGACATGGTGATAGCAGTGACGGCGACCCTCCCAACATTTTTCATCTGGCGGAACGGTCTTTGGTGAAGGCTAGCCAGGCAACGGCCCAGTGAGGCAAGGGCCAAGTGAAGCTATAGGAAGCTACTAGCCCAGTGACATCCATCCGAAGTAGCATACGACAGAACGGTCTGTCCTGTAGCGCTAGTGCCCTTATTCCCTTTTTGGGCAGAGTTTAGGTTCCCTTATCAAACCCTTTAAGCAAAAACAAGGGTTTAGGGTTTAGGGTTTAGGGTTGAGGGTTGAGGGTTGAGGGTTTGGGGGGCAACCCAGTCTGTAGCTTCAAGCTGGTGAGAAAAAACCGTTGCCCTAAACCCCTAACCCTAAACCCTAAACCCCTAACCCTAAACCTTAAAGCCCCAAAGCCTAAACCCTAGACCCTCCACAACTCAATCGAGATCTCATAGCTTCAAGCTGCTGAGAAAAGTGCTGTGCAGACAGGAGCCACTGCTTCTCAAAGCGGGTGCTTCAAAGAGCCTTGGCGTGTCAACCTCTGATCCTTACCAGCGACTCATGGACCCTATAAACCCTAAAGCCCTAAACCCTAAAGGCCCTAAACCCTAGAGGCCCTATAAACCCTAAACCCTAAGCCCCAACACACCAAGAGTTTGGAACCCTGAAAGCTACAGAGATCCTTCAGCAAGAGGCCCCCAAGACCAGAGTTTGAGCGGTCCCCCTCCCCCAAACACTAAACCCCGAACCCCAAACCCTAAACCCTAAACCCCAAACCCTACACCCTAAACCCCACAACCCCAAACCCGGGACAAGCCCCAAAGACCCCCTGCTTGGCCGCGCATGGCGCAGCTCCCTGCGCGTCCCTTCGCGGCGCCCCAGCCGCAGTTTGCGCCTTCGGCGCTGAAGGTCGGGGGTGGGGGGTGTGGGGTTGAGGGTAGGGGCTAGTAGTTGGGGTTTAAGGGTTTCAGGGTCCAAGGGTTTAAGGGCTTAAGGGCTTAAGGGTTTAAGGGTGTAAGGGCATAAGGGCTTAAGGGTGTAATGGTTTAAGGGTTTAGAGTTTAGCATTGGTTCTGTTGTGCAGTGTCCTTGAAGGAGAGATTCTATACTGTATTTTGGGGGTCAGAAGGGAAAACCCTGATTTTTGAACAATTTACTCCATTTACCCTTCATTATGAAGTGAGGCACAGTCCTCAAGTAACTGTAGTTTTATATTTTTTTCTGCGCTTTAGGCCCGCAGTGGCCGTAGCTTCACATCCCATCCTGCTTCACGGCCTCCTAAAGGACGAAAAGCTGGCAAGAACGTGGTTCAGGGTTCCCCAAGCCCTAAACCCTAAACCTTAAGCCCTAAACCCTAAACCCAAACGGTTTCGAGGGCTCCTTGAAATCCTTTTAAAGGGCCCTCCCCAACAAAACGCCCAGTTTTACCGAGTCGTCAGCCTCGAACCCCTCCAACGAACAAGAACCAAACAGACATGATCATAAGAATTGAACTTATACTCGCTTACGTATGTATATGTATATACATTGTTTAGAGTTTAGGGTTTGGGCTGTAGGGATTAGGGTTTAGGGCCTGGGGATATGTACTCACCTTCAGTATATATATATATACACACATGCATGTGTATGTGTATGTATATGTACATGTATATTTGTATGTCTATTTGCATGTGTATGTGTATTGTATATGTATATATATATACACACACATACAAGAATGGCGAAAATAAGCTTACACAGAATCCAGGCACCCCAAGGGCAATGCGGCGCTTCCGCCCTACGCGGCGCTTCGGCCCTATGCCATGGCCTTCACCTCAGACTTTCTTTTGTAGGGTCTAGGGTCTAGGGTTTAGGGTTCAGGGCTTAGGGTTTAGGGTTCAGGGTTTAGGGTTTAGGGTTTAGGGTGCCTCAGACTTTCTTTGGTCTGTGGTTTCGTGGCGGGGGTGGGGGTTTTTGGGTTTCGGGTTCTGAGGGGGGGGGGTTGTGTCTGCCTTTGCTTTAGGGTATTCGAGGTGCTGTTCGGGCTTTAGGGGTTCACAGTTCAGGAACATCTCGGGTTTAAAGCTTGGAGTTTATGGGCTTTTTGTTCGGTAGCCTGGCAGACAATATGCCGTGTCATCTACAAGTGGAGACCCCGAATGCGGGTTGCATAATTCAGATCCACCCTCTGTGGTCTCTTTCCCGAGGCTCCTGGGGAAGTGACTTCGAGCATGTGTAGAGAGGTGTCCGTAATATCATAGGACTTATGAAGTAGTACAGGGTTGATTACGCTCGTTTTGAGGGAAGTGGGGCAGACATGCGGGTCTAGGATTTTGAAGGCCGGTTCTGGGGTCCCCGGCTTGCGGCGTGCCCGAAGCCCAAAAAAAAAACCCAAAACTTGTTCATCTTTGCGGCTCCCCCAATTCCTTTATGATTAGATTTTTGCTTTTTTCTTTCTTTTCTTGGGAGGGCCGGGGGTGGGGGTGAGTGTAAGACTTGGCCCGAAGCCCCCAAACGTATCACCCTAGACCTCGCACCCTGCACCACCCTCAACCCTGAGGCTCTGAAACTCCTAAGGCTGTAAAGCTCGAGCTCTAGAACTGTAAATTCTAGAACTCTACAGCTCTAGAACTCCTAAGCTCAAGAACTCTAAAGCTCTAGAACTCACAACTCTAGAGCCCTGAAACTCTGAAAGTCTGAAAACTCCCAAATTCTCAAGCTCTCAGTCCTGGAGGCGGCAACTACACGTCCGATGCCTACGGCCGCCAGGCTCCTGTGGCCGTTTCGCTTCAGAGTCTTAGGGTTTAGGTGAATTAGGGTTTCGGGTTTAGGGTTGATCCTAAACCTTATAAACCCTAAACAAACCCTAATCCCTAACTTTCAATCCTGAGGTTTGCGGTGGAGTGGTGGCTTGAAGGTGGTGGGCGTCTGGCTTTCACACAGCTTGGGGGTTTCATGCGGATGTGGCCCTTCTTGGGGTTCAGATACCAGAAGATATGTGTTTGGAATAGACTGGGACTAGAAGCCCCTAAATCCCAAACCCTAAACCCTAAACCCTAAACCCTAAACCCTAAACCCTAAACCCTAAACCCTAAACCCTAAACCCTAAACCCTAAACCCTAAACCCTAAACCCTAAACCCTGAACTGCAGCTTTGGCGGCTCATTTAGGCGAGTGAGCTCCTGAGATCGCTCCGCTCATGCCCTCGTCAGCTCCCTTCCACGGAGATGCGCTGCGACTCTTGGTAGCCCAGTGGTACCAGTTTAGGGTTTAGGGTTTAGGGTTTAGGGTTTAGGGTTTAGGGTTTAGGGTTTAGGGTTTAGGGTTTAGGGTTTAGGGTTTAGGGTTTAGGGCCTTATCATCCCAAAACAACCCCAGAAACGGCCTCTTGTAAGGGGTTGTAGGTGACAATGGCCCATCCCGGTACCCTTTTACTTTTTTTTTTTTTTTTGGGGGGGGGGGGGGGGGGGGGGGGGGGTTCTGGGTTCCAGTATAAAGTAACCAGTAACCAGCCAAAACAAGTACCCTTATGATAAGATGGTTGCTGGGCTGCCAAGGAATTGTTTGTGGACATCTGACTCTCAAGAGTCGAACTCTGCATCTTCGCTTGGTGTCGAGGGCGTGCTGCAGTGAGGTTGATCTCATGGGCTCGGATTGCTTGGTCGTGAATGGAGACTTACTTAGCCAAGAGTTGAACTTTAACCTTTTGGTTTCCTTATTAACCCTAAACCCTAAACCCTAAACCCTAAACCCTAAACCCTAAACCCTAAACCCTAAACCCTAAACCCTAAACCCTAAACCCTAAACCCTAAACCCTAAACCCTAAACCCTAAACCCTAAACCCTAAACCCTAAACCCTAAACCCTAAACCCTAAACCCTAAACCCTAAACCCTTTCCTTGGTTATTGGAGAAGTAAGGAGAGCCCGGGCCACAGGGAAGGGAGTCAGTGGACTCCATGAGCATCCATTCAGCGAAGCCGGGCAGCATCCGCCAATTCAAGCCTCGGACGCTGAAGCTTCAGAACATTGGCGCGCTCCCGCCGCAGGAAATGAGACGCCTGCTGGAAGGTGCGCAGGGTTCCCTCACTTCGTTGTCAATTCAAGGATGGACTCCTGTGTTGGAGAGGAACCGCGGACGGTTCCAACACTTCTACGATGCAAGAAGTGTCTTTGCTGCCTTTGACTGTGCGAGTGAGATCACGGAGTTGGAATGGCGCCAAATCTCCCTTCCGTTGTCCTTGACCTTGCAGATCACTTGCTGCTTTCGGAACCTTGTCACCTTGCGCTTGGGAATCTCCGCCGAGGATTCTGGCGACGAGCGGAATTTCTTTCAGCTGCATGCGTTGCAAATGCTACCAAACCTCAAGGAGCTTCGCATAGTAGAGGATCAGGACTTTTTTGGTCATGTCTATTGTCCTTTGACTTGCTTGGGCCTGGCATTGGCACCGCTCCGGAACCTAGTGATCCTGGACATGGGCGAGGTGCCCGTCTGGAAGGACACGGACGCAATCCCGTCGTTGCTTGTCATGCTGGAGCAGCTGAAGTACCTGATGGAGCTGAGGACACTTAGGGGGCACTTGGAAATGCTTTTTCAATTTTTGGTTACTTTATTCCTTAAACCCTGGGCCCTAAACCCTAAACCCTGGGCCCTGGGCCCGGGACCCTGAACCCTAAGGAACAGCTAAAAGAATATGTTTTTTGCTAGGGTGGCAAGTTCAGTAGAGGACACTCATGTTCTGCCCGGCAGAACTCTGGGATCAGCTCGAACCCAACTTTGGGTGCCTCCCTCGCCTTCATCGCTTGTGCTTCTGGGTAGCCCAGTGGTACCCTTTACCCTTAGATTTGTTTGACCCGAAACGCTAAACCCTAAACCCTAAACCCTAAACCCTAAACCCTTATTACAATAAGGTTCTGGGGCTACCAAGGCTTGCACTTCTCCGAGCCGAGCTCGGAGGACATAGCGTCGTTTGTCAAGGCCATTGCGGATGGCCTCTTTCCGGCCTTGCAGGACTGGTAGTTGCTTAAGAACCCCCAGAACATGAATGATAATTTTCCTTATAAGGGTAATATAGGACTGGTAGTTGCTTAAGAACCCCCCAGAAAATGAATGATAATCTTCCTTATAAGGGTAATGTAGTTGCTTAAGAACCCCCAAAATATACATGAGAATCTTCCTTATAAGGGTAATATAGTCGCTTAAGAACCCCCAAAACATAAAAGATAGTCTTCCTTTTTAAGGGTAATATAGGGATTATTATGTTTTATTCTTTTGGGGTGCTTAAGCAAACAGTAGAGGAGCTGGAGCTCGTGATGATCAACATGGAGGACGACTCCGGGATGGGCGTCGACGAGGACGACTGGGACGAGTGGCTGTTGGGAGCTCTCAGCCGGCTGCTATATCCTTTCTGTGAATTATTTTGTGTTTTTGTCTATATACAAGCCAAGAGGATATTAAGAATATTTTTGTTTTTAAGGTTCTAAGGGTAGTATACGTAGGCTGAAGAGGGGCCCCAAGCTCAAGTGCATCCTTCTTGACTCCTGCGACCTCCCATGTGATCTCGACCTCCTGGAAAACAATTTGGCAGCAGGCGGTGTTCAGTTGCTAGGATGCCCAGTAGTACCCTTATTCCCTTTTTTGGGGGGTTTAGGTTCCCTTATAAACCCTTTAAGCAAAACAGGGCACCCTTTTTAAGCCTAGGTTACTGGGCAGCCTAGGTTGGCTTTTGCATAAGTCAGCGCACAGCCTGACGGGTGGGGCCCAAAATATTGGGGCTGCGGGGGCGCGCAGCTGGGTAGTTGACGAAAGAAGACCGCGCCGCGAAAAGCGCCTGCATGCGTGTGTTTGCGCACTGCATCTAGGCAAGATATTTCCCCCCCCCCCCCCACCCAGACCCTAACCCCTAACCCCTAAACCCTAAACCCTAAACCCTAAACCCTAAACCCTAAACTCTAGTCCCGGAACTCTCTTGCAGCTAAGCGACGGAGGAGGCGCCCGCGCCATCTCCGGTTTCGTCCGCTCCTGAGAAGCTGCAGGGGCAGGGCTTCCACCATAATCCTTTTCTTTGTGGTGCTTTACTGTAACTTTACATCTTTAGCCTTTTTGGGGTTTTTTGGGTTTCTTAATAAGGCAGCTAAAAAGTCAATTTATAGCTACCCTCCTAAGTGCAGCCAAGGGGTAGGGGGGCTTCTACCATAATCCTTTTGTACAAGGAACTCCTTATCTTGGTCCCTTCCAGAAAGAACCGTTTGTTAGGGTTTGGGGTTTGGGGTTTGGGGTTTAGGGTTTAGGGTTTAGGGTTTAGGGTTTAGGGTTTAGGGTTTAGGGTTTAGGGTTTAGGGTTTAGGGTTTAGGGTTCGTGTTTGTCGGTATAGATGGTACAGATTGAGATTGCCTTTTGCTAGCATAGTATCTGTTCGTTCTAAGTAATTGTACGGTAGCCGATTCTTCGCAGCTGTAACCGTTGAACCTACAAAACCTAAACCCTGACACCTATGACCCCTCGGCTTGCCTAAGCCCCGAACCCCTAGAACAGCCGACAAACCCGCAAAACCCCTAAACCCTTAGAAGCCCCTAAACATCCCCCCAAAAAACCAAAACACACCCAAAAGTTCCCTTAACAACACCCCATCAACCCCAGAGTCCCTAAACCCGAAACCCTAAGCCCTACAGGGCTTATAAGCCCTAAACCCGAAACCCTAAACCCGGCCCTAAACCCTAAATCCTAAACCCTAAACCCGAAACCCTAAACCCTAAACCCCAAACCCTAAACCCTAAACCCTAAACCCTAAACCCTACGAGTCGCGCCCTCTGCTTGCAAGGCCCAGCTCACTTCAGTCGACGTCACCTTCGCAGCGCCTTTCCGAGCAGGACATCGGTGAGCTAAAGACAGGGTGAGCTAAAGACGGTTTAGGGTTTAGGGTTTAGGGTTTAGGGTTTAGGGTTCAGGGTTCAGGGTTTAGGGTTTAGGGTTTAGGGTTTAGGGTCTAAGATAACAAACCCTAAATCCTAAATCCTAAACCCTCAACCCGAAACCCTCAACCCTAAACCCTCAACCCTAAACCCTCAACCCTAAACCCTAAACCCCAAACCCGAAACCCTAAACCCTACCCCTAAACCCTAAATCCTCATCACCCCCAGAAAAACTTCCCCAAGTCAGGAGCAAGGCCAGATCCTGGTTGAGAGGAAGTCAGAGGCCGACTGATGCGGTTTAGGGTTTAGGGTTTAGGGTTTAGGGTGTAGGGTTTAGGGTCTAGGGTTTAAGTTTAGAGTTTAGGGTTGAGAGTTGTTCTTATTGATTTTCCATTGTAGGGCTTATAGGATTTCTAGCATGCAAGGGCTTCATTTCAGGGTTAGTTCAGGGTTTAGGGTTGAAAGGGTTTACGGGAATAAGGGGAACACTAAATTTTGGGAGAAAGAGACTGGTGGGAACCTTTAAAGCACCAAACTTAAATCCCGATCTTGCCCAGTCGCTTGCGCAGGCTTTTCGCCAACTTGCGGCCAGCATCGACGCTGAGGTTGGCTTCGTTTGGCGATGATTTAGGGTTTAGGGTTTAGGGTTTAGGGTTTAGGGCAGGCTGCAGGGACCGTCTTATCCCCAAATGGGTTAGATTGCCCCCTACTCCCCGAAACGGCCTCAAGCCCTAAAACCTAAACTTCCTAGGCCACTGTGGAACCTATCTGGCCGGCTTTCCCTGAAGCCCTGACTCCCGGTTCAACCCAGTGTAAGGTTTAGGGATTAGGCATGAGTGCGAAACTCAGAAGACTGGAAGCGCACCAATCCTCCCACCCTCCTTAAATTGTTTTTCCTCCTGAAGTGGGGGCTTTCCGAAATTAGGGGTACCTTATCGGGGGTCATCCTACTATTTGGGGATCTGTAGTGGTTGTTGTAGCACAAGAAGCCTTACAACCAGGAGACAAATCCCTCGGTTAGATTTAAGTAGCAGCTGCCTCAAAACCGCGTGAGCCATCCCTGGATGGAGTTCGGATTTCAGGACACGACCCTGAACCATGAGATGAGTGTATGACTTAAGACAACACCCCTAAACCCTAAACCCTAAGCCCTAACCCCTAAACCCTAAACCCTAAGCCGTAAACCCTAAACCCTAAACCCTAAACCCTAAACCCTAAACCCTAAACCCTAAACCCTAAACCCTAAACCCTAAACAACCCTAAACCCTAAACCCTAAACCCTCACTTTGCCCACACTGCGTCCAGGCCATCGAGGCCATCTGCGCCGAGCACACTCGCAGGCCGCCAGGGCTTTGGGGGCTTTGGAGGTTTTAGGGTTTAGGGGTTTAGGGTTTAGGGTTTAGGGTTTGGGGGTTTAGGGTTTAGGGGTTTAGGGTGTAGGGCTTAAGGTTTAGGATTTAGGGTTTAGGGTGTAAGGTTTGGGGCTTTGGGGGCTTTGGAGGTTTCCTTGGTAGCCCAATTGGTACTCTTTACCTTTTTTCTTTTTGTTCTGGGTTTCCTTATAAAGTGACCAGCCAAGACAAGGCCGCCCTTGGTTACCGGGCTACCACGTTTTAGGTTTTGGGTTTCGGGGGCTTGGCAAAAGTGTTCTTGGTGGCTCTGGAGTTTCAGGGTTTTGGACGTTTGGGGGTTTTGGGATGTTTTGGGCGTTTGGAGGCTTTAGGGATTTGGTTTGCGGGAGATTTTGGGGTTTGTAGGGTGTGCTAAACCCTAAACCCTAAACCCTAAACCCTAAACCCTAAACCCTAAACCCTAAACCCTAAACCCTAAGCCCTAAGCCCTAAGCCCTAAGCCCTAAACCCTAAGCCCTAAGCCCTAAGCCCGCAATCGAGGGTCTGGGCTGTAGGGCCGAAGAGTCCCCCCCCAACCCAGCTGCCCGAACCCTTCTAGTTTAGGGCTTATCGGCTATCTTCCCCCGAACCGGTTTAGGGTTTTTGGGTTTTAGGGTTTAGGGTTTAGGGCTTAGGGTTTAGGGTTTAGGGTTTTAGGGTTTTAGGGTTTAGGGTTTGCCATTACGGAGGGACGACTGCGGAAAACCCTAATCCCCTAAAGCCTCAATCCTACAAAACCCCAAACCCTAATGAGTTCAGTGCCTCTTGTGTCTTTCGAGACCAGACATCGGAACACGCGAGAGAGTTCTAAAACCCAACGACTCTAGTAGTTCGTTAAGGGGCCTTCCTTAAGACACATTACCGGGTTTCGGGAAGCTTCCCGAACCCGGGCTCCTTATTGCAAACTTCATACGTTAAGGAACTCGGACCGGATTTTTTAGGGTTTAGGTTCCCTAGATTACTCCTGGATCTAGGGAATCTTCCCTAATTAAGGGATAAGACTGGAGCCAACGGGCACTGGTAAGGCCAGAGGTGTTTGGGGTTCTTCCTTGTCATGGCTATTGAATATGGAACAAGACAGGACTCTTACATGAATGGTCACAACGGTTTAGGGTTTAGGGTTTATAGGGTGTAGGGTTTAGGGTTTAGGGCTCATCTACCTCAGGACGTCATACTGAAACCCTGAACTGGGGATGCTCCCCCTTATACTAACAGCTCCTTAATCGGGATTCTAATAGGGGGGAAGGGGGGGGGGGGGTACCTAAAATCCGGCAAAAAGGAGCTGGTACTACAACACGGGCTTCGTTCCACTGTAGAGTCCTTCCGGCCGTTTGGGGTTTGGGGCTCCTGAAGCCCTGAGCACCAGAAGCCCCACAGGTTTGGAGTTTAGGGCTTAGGGTTTAGGGTTTAGGGTTTAGGAGTTTTAGGTTATAGGGGTTGGGGTTTAGGGTTTAGGGCTTGGGTTTTAGGGTTAGAGTGTATGGCTCTCTAAGCCCAGCCCCTCAGTCTTGCCGGACTTGTGAGGCAAACGGGCATCAGTTCCAGCACTGCCCTGAGACTTTGGATTTCTCAGGCCCCTAAACCTTAAACCCTAACCCCTAAACCCTACACCCTACACCCTACACCCTAAACCCTAAACCCTAAACCCTACCCCTGAGGCCCCTGAAAACTTTTAGCATCCGAAAGCCCCTACGCCCAAAACGTCCCCAAACCCGAAAACCCTGAACCCTGAAGCTCCTAAACTCTTTAAGCCCTTAAACCCCAAACTCAGGATGTAAGGTTTAGGGTTTATAGGGTTTAGGGTTTAGGGTTTAGGGTTTAAGGTTTAGGGTTTAGGGTTTAGGGTTTAGGGTTTAGGGTTACTCTTCTACGAGCGGTTTTGCAGCCCTGATCAGAAGGACCCACCCAAACACACCAGCGACTAAAGAAGTAGATGAACACCGGCTGAGGCACTGAGGGTGCTCAGAGGATTCGGAAGCCGTTGCGTGGCTCAAGTCCTGTTTTTCGGTCGGGTAGAGAGCAAAAGCATGTCTTTCCCCATGCCTTTGTCATGCGCCTCGAACACAGTGGCCGTTCACTTCCAGTCCGACCCTTGGGGACGAAATGAACCCGAAAATTGGGGTCATCTGCCCTGTACTACTATAATTCCTATAAAGGTATATGCACCCTAAACCCCAAACCCTAAACCCTAAACCCTTTTAGGCTTCCTTTCGTCCCCAAGGACTGCCCCAAGAGCTTTGAGGTGGCGACGGAGCTCTTCTCGAGGTTTGGCGACGTCGCGCCCTAAACAGTAACCCTAAACCCTAAACCCCAAACCCTAAAGTCTTTGCTGAGGGCTCGCTACCAACACTTGAGAGCCCGAAGCCGTCCGAGCTTCGCGAGCGACCTGAGAGCACTGAACGCGCAGCCCAGGTAAAGCTGGGGCTGCTG